TTGGAAGATGGCAACCCCAAAATGTTTATTCCATGTCTATTTAAGTGCCCTAGCCTTCTATGCCATAGATCGGCTGTGATTTTACAAATATTTACACTTTCTTCTAAGGAATTACCTGCATTTCCAGGTTCTAATAAATCTAGTTTTATTGCATATAAGTTTCTTTTAGACTTTTTGCACTTGATTTCAAAATGTTTGCTTTGAATTCGTACTTCATCTTCACTAAATGTAACACGTAAACCTTTTTCTGTTAACTTTCCAACCGATAGAAGGTTGTGAGGCATGTTTTTCACAATAAGGGCAGGAATTGAAATTATTGTATCTTCATATTTTGCTTTTAAAATACCTCTCTTTTTGGACATCATTTTATCACCATTTGCAATGTGAATTACTATTTCATGATCCAAAATTTCTACTTCTGACATGAAAATCTCTAGTTTATCTGACACCAGATGTTGTGTTGCACCAGAATCAAGAATAAATATATCATTTTCTATATTGTCATTATTTAGACAGTTCATGGCAATAAATGAGACTTCACTGTCGGCTGCTCCATGTGCTTTTTGTGACGTAGACTGCTCGTTTCTAAAATTAGCTTGTGAATATCCCCTCTTTTTACGAAAATTGGATCGACCTCTACTATTTGAATTTCTTGACCAGCATTCTGTAGATTTGTGGCCCTTCTTTCCGCAAGCGAAGCACTTTATGGGGAAAGCACCAAATGTAACTTCATCAACTTTATCTCCTTTTGTTTGAATTTTATTTTTAATTTTTAATTCTTCGTCTAGGAGCCTTGCTTTTACAAAATCCATTGATACTTCAGTGTTTAACGTTTCGATCGCTGTAATAACTGATGCGTACTCTTCATTCAATGTTAAAAGAAGATGGCAAACCTTGTCGGATTCTTCAATTTTTGAACCGACGCTTTCGAGTTCTCTAATTAACGAATCAAATTGTTGAAAGTGATCTTCTAGTTTTTCTTCCTGCTTACATTTCATGGTCAGTAGCCTTTTCTTTAGGGTAAGTTTCGTAAAAACGCTTTTTCTTTCAAAAACATTTTGAAGCGCATTCATCATTTCTTTTGCTGTATTGGAATCTTTTACTATATCCAAATGTTTATCGGTTATACATTGTATAATTATCGACTTAGCTCTTGCATCTCTTTCTCTAAACTTTGCTCGTTCTGAATGATTTATTTCTCCCTCTTCAGTTTCTAATGTTACTTTACATTGTTTTTCTGCGAGAATGGCTTTAACTCTAAACTTCCAATTATTAAAATTATTTCCACTTAGTTGAGGAAAACTAACTCCTGGTAGTAGACCTGCCATATTAAATATTTCTTCTTGCAGCTAGTTACTAATAAAACTTAGCTGGGCCCATAACCTAAATGAAGTATTTTTCGCTTTGGAAGCTATTTAGTTAAACCAGTAACCTTTTTTATGTATTTTATAATAAATTTTATTGAGAATGACAAAACGTTTTTTTTTTTATTAACTGACAACTTTTATTCAATTCAAAAAACACAACGAAACCATAGATACATACTGTATATATTTTATAGTAAGTGTACTATGTGCTGCATAGATTCAACACGTTTATGCGAAGAAGATGAAAGCGCCGGTCTAGAAAAATGGTAGAAATAGCCATAAAAAAAAGAGAACGATAACAATAACAAAGAAGAAAGTTTGAATTTCGTTCGTCAAAAGTCAAGGTCAGCTCACCATCAAACATATCCCAATATTCAAATTCAAAACCAGCCTCAACGGAATTACAGACAAGGCGCAGGCGTTTCAAATGGATCCAACAGTTAACGTAACGGCATGGCAACAAATATGCGCAAACCGCAATGGTCATCACAACATCAAAACCAACACAAAATGGATGCCAGTTCATCAAGAAAAACATTAAAGTTTAAAGTGTGTGGAAAATGCATGACGGTGAATGAAGATATGTAAATTATTTTTGTTCAAAATGCAAGAGACAAGGGCATTTAGCTCAAGTATGTGAAAGAAAACATTGTAATTTTTTGAAGGTTAATGATAATATTTTTGAAAGAGAAATAGAGGTTAGTAACATGAATGTAAATATAAACAATACTGAGAATATCCAAGAATGTTGGTATTCCGAGTATAAGTTTGATAATTTTAAAGATTTTTGTGAAAGTTCATGTGCAGATAATGTTAATCATGTAAATAATATTCATAAAATAGAAAACAAATGTATAGCTAAGGTTTTTAATGATAATAAAGAACATTTATTTCAAATAGATAGTGGTAGCGCAATATCAGCTATAAATTATGAACATTTTAATAAAGATTTTAGACACTACAGAATAGAAAGATCAGAAATAATTTTAAAAAGTTGTAATAATAGTACATTTGCTCCTGTAGGATATTTTAATGCAAATATTTATATAAAAGTAAAAATTTATGACATAAGTTTATGGGCGTTAATTTACACAGGCTCACAAATATCAGTCATAAAAGAAGATATAATAAAATGGTATCGAGAAAATTTTGAAGAAAGGCTTATTAAAATAAAAAATGTACAAGTAATAGCTGTAAATAACAAAAAATTGGATGAAATAGGACAGTTATATTGTGGAGGAATTCAATTAAACCAGGATTATGTACAAGTGAATCTATTGGTTATGAAAGGTATAACTATGGACATCATTTTAAGAGTAGATTTTTTGTATCAAAATCAAGGAATTTTAGATTTGAAACAACAAATTATTCAGATTAACAGAACATATAGTAAGAACATTTTAAAATTTAGTGAAAATTTAGAAAAAGGGTTACACTTGCAGAATTTAAAGTTAAAAGAAGAGATACAACATGATAAATTGGTAAAAGAAAATCAGTTAGAAGAACGGTGGAAAAAATGGTTTGATTTAATCAAATGTCCAGAAAAATATAAACAAGAGGTTAGTAAAATTTTAAATAAGCATGAAGAATTGATCAGTGAAGTAGCTAGAACAGCCAATCATTATGAACATAAGATTGAGGTTTATACTGAAAAGAACTTTATATGTAAAAGGTATCCAGTACCTCAAGCATACAAAGAACAAGTGAAAGAAGAATTACTAAAAATGGAAAAGATGGCATTATACAAAAGTCTACAACACAATACATAAGTCCTTTAGTAATAGTAAAAAAATCAGATTCATCTTTAAGGCTATGCTTAGATGCAAGAAAAATTAATGAAATTACAAAACGTCAGTATGAATCACCACAACAAGTTGACACGATGCTAACAAAAATTGGAAAGAGCACAATATTTACAAAATTAGACCTTATAAATTAATTTTGGTTGATACCTCTTGATAAGGACTCCAGAAAGTATACAGGGTTCCAAGTAGATGGTCAGGTATGGGAATTCCGAACTACACCGTTTGGTCTGCAAAGCTCTTCATCAGCTTTAGTTCGTGCGCTTAGGGAAGTTTTGGATCCGTATCAGCATTCTTGTATATCGTATATTGATGACATACTGATTTTCAGTGAAGATGAAACGCAACACCTACAACATATAGAAATTATTATTAAAATTCTAGACAAATATGGTCTAAAATTGAACATAGAAAAATCTGATGTGTCCAACACATGACTTTCCTATCTAATTATTATAGGCTTTTTCCGGTTATTTTGTACAACCTATTGCAGCACCTCTATAAATGTTTAGAGGATAAACTAAATATATACATTTTCCACATACATCTAACTCGAAACATTTTTCTATAGGTATTCATTGAAAACGAAAATACTGAAAAATTTAAATTTAGCACTTTTCCTTCAATTTCTTCAATACGGTTCATTTTAAAAAATCATATAAAAAACATAAATTATAGAGATCGATATCACAAATAACTTTTATTTAAACAATTTTCCTAAAAATTTGAATTTTATTACATTTTGTCAAATTTCTCGAATACGGACCCTTTAAAAAAAGTAAATAAAAGATTTATTATTATTGCTTGGCCCTCCCAAGAAAGGTTATTAAATATTATGGAAAGCTTCCTGTCAATCAATGGATTTCCACGTTAGTAAATATGTGTATCATGGTTTTATACTATAATAAGTGAGAGTGTATTAATATTTACGGTCCAATTTATTCTTGTAGTTTTTATATTTGAAACAAAGTTTGAATAACACAAATTATTTTGTAGGTGTCATTGGTGCTATAGATGGGAGTCACATAAGTATTAATGCTCCAAAAGAACATCATAATTCTTATTTTAACCGTAAACAATTTCACTCGGTATTGTTACAAGGTATATGTGATCACAGAAAACTATTTATGCATGTTTATTCTGGTGAACCTGGGTCTTTACATGACAACAGATTATTTGAAAAATCTGATCTATATGAAGGTCTCATAAATAGACAATTTAGATTGCATTTCAATAGTTTCATTTTGGGAGACCTAGCATATAAGCTTAGCAATTATATTTTGATGGGATTTAAACATACTGGAAATCTCACAAACCAACAAAAACGTTTCTATTATTTACTGTCCCAAGAAAGGGTCGTTATAGAAATGGCTTTTGATCTTTTAAAAGGCCGCTTTAGGAGGCTGAAATATATGGATACTGTACGCTTAGATTTAACAGATTTACTAATTATAAGTGCTTGCGTATTACATAATATTTGCATTTTAAATGCAGAATCACCTGATGAAATTATGAACATTGAGAAAGAACTAGAGGAAGAAAGAAGACTAAATTTAAATAATCTATCACTCTGGCAACCTGGTGCAAGGCAAGCTAAAGAAAATAATCAATTTGCCATTGCTAGAAGGAATGATATAATAAATCAACTTGTACCATCTGAATAAATTTAATTTTCATTTACAGGGCATTCCTAAATTTATCAAATATTTATTGGCAATAAAACAATTTTTTCTTAACTATAATTTTATTTTACCTACTTAAATTTTTATAATTTTATTAAAGATAAAAAAAAAAGCATAAATTAGGAAGTTGTGGAAGATCTTTCAACTGCCACAGTTATTCGTTCAAGAAGGCTCAAATAACGATCTTATCTAGACATCTTTTCTTGATGTCTTGGTGGTATTTTCATAATGTTTCCTCTTCCTCATTACATTCGTTGTAGTAGAATTTTCATCCAACTCTCGTGCTGATAGTGGAGTGCTACATGCTGTAAATGTATTTAATTTTTTTAGGTAAATGACATGGACAAGTACTTAGTGTGTATAATTACTTTAATACCTTTCTGGTGCATTTTATTAAAAGTAATTAAAGTACTCGTCTATTTTATTTACCAAGGTATTTTAAGTTTAAGCTAGTTTTAAATATCACATACTTAATGGATATTTCAGATAGGAGTACTAGTTATACTTTAGGATTGGATCCAAGAAGGAAAAGGTAATAATATTATTAAGTTTATTCTATTACTAACCAGATGGGCGAGATACTTCAATATTGGTATCCTGCTCCTGAAGTCCATTTGTAATTAGGCCTCTTGCACTAGAGCATGTAGCAACCGGACATATCTGTGGCTTATTGAACATAATATCACCCATTAGGCCATAATATTCCCAACCTTTTTTATTATTTCCAGACTGGCTATTATATTTTCTCACAGACTTGTACATATTTTTTAAAACTTTAAATTTTGTATCACATTGTTGATACGTATAAATTCTTTGACATTTTTTTGTTAATTCTAAAGATAGTTTTTTCCATACATGTTTTTGAACTCCAGTTTCAAACTGGTCGATAAATTTTTTACAAAGTGCTATGAGCATCTTTGTGGAGTTTTCATTCCATATTTTGCCTTGCTTGCAGGCCCTCCGAAAGTTTTCAATATCTAAAATTAAAAAAACCATTCTATTCATATGTTAGCCGAGAAGTTTAAACAAACTAAATTTAAACTCACTGTTATTACTACATCTTTCCAAATATTTGTATAATATACAATGTATTACCAAAACACAATGTTCTTTCTTAAAAAAAAATTAAATTATTTACCTCCATTTTCTAAATTACATTCTTCCTCTACAAAGGAAATGCACCTCTCCTGGTTGCTTTGAGTAGATGCTGAAACAAAATTTACGTTACTTGAATTGTTTAATAATTTACAGAAATACTAATTTTGGATATGAAAAACAAAAGGATATAGTTGGATCCTAGTTCACTTTTGTCTCTTTCCTCCGATGTCAGTTTCTCACTGATTTATACTAATAACAATAAACGTTCCTTATCGAGATACTATACCCAACAGGCCATCGACCAAAGTCTTTCGACCATGATTTATACTATTAACGAATTACTACTTACTTGAAGCTGGATTATGCATTATTTTATAGGCTGCAATAAAAATTTTTTACCAACTTTATTTCTCAAAAGTTGCAAAGCATTAATAACATTATCCATGTGGCTGAATGCTGTTATGAGGTCAGTGTTAATTGCTTGCAGTTGTTTTGATAGCGACAATTATTATATGAACATATTAATGATTAGGCAAGTTCCAAGTCCATTAGCGATAATGACCGAAAACCATATAAATAGTACCATAAGTTCTCAATAATTCACTTCTACTCATATCTCCAAACAGTCATCATAAATATTATTGTATTGTATTTGTATTATTGTAAAATAAAAGTTTTTAAAAAGTTAAGTGGTGAAAGAAATAACTTATTTGGCGCAGTCACGGTAGGATACATGAAGGTTACGTAGGATACAAGAAGTTTACAAGTTCCACATAACCGCTGGTTTCCACCATTTTTCTTGAAGAAGAATCTACAACCACGTGTTGGAAACTATCCAACACAATGCAAATCTAGGGAATTATATAATTTACCATTGGCAATTAGAACTAGTGATAGTTAGGCTAGTAACTTATTTTCTGCTAGTCACATATTTCCAGGTAGTGACGTTATTCATATTTTCCACCATGTTCAACTACATCAAGTAACAAAAAACGAGGCAGGTAGAATTGTCATGTTATGTCATTAATTTATATATATCTGAAAGCTTTGTAAATCAGAACACTATTTGTAAATAAACCATTTAAAATTCTAACCATTTTATTTATGTAGTGTTATCCGCACCACGTAAGCATTGAGAATTCCTATAATTTTCCCTAAAACCCGATTAGGTGATTATATTTAAAAATTTTAAAACTTTATGTACCGTTAAATAACTATAGTAGAAGTCAAATTTAAGTAATAAAATATCGTTAGTAATTCAGACCTTTCAAAAAATGTCTGCTGAAAACCAAAATCGCCTCACTACAGTGCAAACTGCTAAATCACTCGCAGACTTCTTACCTACCTCTAGTGGAGAGTCGTTTAAATTAGAAAGCTTTATTCAACGTTGTGACAAATATTATAATACATATGGTCAAACAGTTGACAATACATTAAACGATTTTCCATACAACGTCATTTGTTCTAAACTACAGGGTGATGTTTTAGATTTTGTTATGTGCAGACCAGATTTAAATACCTGGCCATTAGTTAGAGAAAGTTTAAGAAATCATTTTGTAGACAGAATTGATCGTCAAACTCTAACACGTGATTTCTTACACTTAACAAAAAATCGAAACGAAAATATATTAGACTTTTTAAGTAGAATTAGCCACATGAAATCCAGAGTAGAAATTAAAATTAATGCTGAAAGAGATATTAATCATGAACGTAAAAGAATCTTAACCTTCCGCCGATAACGTTATGTCTGTCAGACCGACCGATTTGAATTTTCGCGGTTTAGTCATAACGCATTCTCGCTCGAATCTGTGCTTTATAATACCTTCCGCGACTGAGGTTGTCTATTCAGTCGTGAAGTCGCAAGCAGAAAGTGTGCATGGTTTCAGAGATAATTTGATTTTATTAGGCGATTATCTCTCGTGCATTATTTTAGGGTAAGAATAATTTTATTAATTTTTGCTTTGGTAATAATTTATATTACATTTTAGTGCAATAATTTTATAATGGATTTTGAAAGGGACCAAGAACGTTTATTAAGACTTTATGAAGAGGTTTTAACTGGTTCAGAGGCTGAACCAGATGATGATGAAAACAGTTTGGTAGACGACCATCTGGAAATTTTGGAAGATGTAGACTTGGGACAGGAGTTCTCCGATAATGATGAAAATTTGGTTGTTAGTGAAGAAAGATAAATACTAATTCGAGGGGCTGCAAGAATTCCTTGTCTCATTGGTAAAAATGGAACTACGAAATGGCGAAAATATCCTGCAACAATGCCAAATGTACGAACACGTGCCGAAAATATTGTCGCCCATTTACCAGGTCCTAAAGGAGTTATCCGGAACAAAAATAAAGCTTCAGAAATATGGGAATGCTATTTTTCTATGAATATGTTAGAGAAAATTGTTACTTACACTAACAAATTTATAGAAACGCAAGCTTATGATGTATCGCAAAATAGATCTTATAGACCCACTGATTTATTAGAAATTAAAGCATTATTGGGGTTGTTATATATTTGTGGTGCTAGCAGAGATAACCGACGAAACGCTGAAGATTTATTTCGGACGAATGGAATGTCCATGGATACCTTCAGGCTTACTATGTCCCACATAAGATTTAAATTTTTGTTAAAACATATTCGTTTCGACGATAAAACCACCAGACAAGAAAGGGTGAAATTAGACAAATTAGCCCCGATTAGGGAAATTTACGACGAGTTTGTATCTAATTTACCTAAACACTATAATATGTCCGCATACACAACCATAGACGAAAAACTTGAAGCTTTCCGAGGCAAATGTCCGTTCAAAGTTTATATGCCATCGAAGCCTAATCGTTATGGAATAAAAATATATGCCTTGGTAGACGCCAAAATGTTTTACACCGCAAATTTGGAGGTCTACCTAGGAAAACAGCCTGCTGGACCCTATCAGAATGATACTTCGAATTTAGCATTAGTACCTCGTCTTTGTTCACCAATCCTGCTATCAAATAGAAATGTTACAATGGACAACTTTTTCAATAGCCTTACTACTATTGGAACTTTACGCAAAAACAAACCTGATATACCTCCAGCAATGTTGTTGCCAAGAGCAGAAAAATCAGTTATGTTTGCTTTTAGAGACAAGTGTACACTCGTTTCGTACTGTCAAAAAAAAATGTCCTATTACTATCGACATAGCATTACGATGCTGCTATTGATAGGGAAACTGGCAAACCAGAAATAATTATTGATTATAACCAAACGAAAGGAGGTGTTGACGTTGTTGACAAAATGTGTGAAGCCTACAATTTCGCTCGTGCAACTCGTCGTTGGCCAATGGTCATTTTTTATAGTGCTATGAACGTCGCTGGAATAAATAGCTATATAGTTTATAATAGCAATACTCAAACAAAAATCGATAGAAGAAGATTTTTAGAAAATCTAGGATTTCAGTTGCTTGATGAACATATTCGCCGACGAGCTCAACAGCAAAACATTCCTAGGACAATTCGTTTGCGGCTTGCTGAAATATGTGGAATAGAAACTGAAAATATTGCTCCTGAAAATAGAATTTATGGACGCTGTACATATTGTAGCACAAAAAAAGTAGAAGAACAAAATATACTTGCAGAAATTGTAAGAAATATTTGTGTCTGGAGCACCTTACTGGATTTTGCCAAGCTTGTTACGAAGATTATGAGGCCCAAAATGTTTAGTAATAGTTCCAGTAATCTATATGGTTTTCGAGAATAAAACTGTTTTTTTTTTCATTATTTTACTACCTATCTACTATGTTAATCATTCGTTTAGCTAAAAATTTGAGTTTTATTTTAATATTTTAATTTGAATAAAAATCAGTCTATAAAAATGACATTTTTTTTCTATTACCTCCTAAATTGTTTAAACAACCAAAAAATTTGTTACGGGCTCAATACTTTTGTGCAACAGATATTTTTAAAATTAAAATAAACTAAAGAAAAAAAATAAATAAATACTTACAGTTTAAAATAATGCTAATACATATTTAATAATTATTTATTTTACTTGAATTATTGTTTACATTCCAAAGTACAAATAATATTGACCTTGAACTTGAACTCTTCTTTTTCCCATTATTGTTCAAAATATTAGGTACTCTTCTGTCTAAAAATAATAACATAAAAGCCCTACTACGGTTAGGTTAATTATTGTCATCAAAAATCTCCTACCTAGATCAAGGAAGTATGTTTTCTCTCTCACTTCCTGGTTCTGTCTCTTTTTTGGCTGATATTGGGCCATGTGGACTCATTAATAAAATCGAAATTTATTTCGGATTTAATAAGCCTAAAACAAAAGAAATTTCATCAAAGATAATTGTATAACAAAAAGTTAATCAAAGCTGATTATACACATTAGTGGATTTGCATACAATATCTTTAGAAGGCCGCTACTTCTTCACGGCCATCAACTATCAACTATTGACTACCACCTAGCTTTTATTCGTCTAACTACCATATTGTGGACTAGTTACCATATCTACAAATACCTCTCATCTATTGCATATTCTTGGACAAAATATTGGAATAAGGATTTTATTTCATAGCATCACTCACCTTCCAGATAGTAGCTGTTTGATACTGACCCCAACGCACTTCTATAGATATAGTCAGGTTCAGGTTGGAGCTTTTGAACCACTAAAGTTGTTTGAACTGCAAGGATACAAGTAAGAAATTTCCAATTATAACTCTCGAGGGTATAACAGGGCGATTCCAATTCAATTTCGTTTGGGTACAGGAATACCTACAAAACAAGATAATAACTATTAAATCAAACATATTTTTATATTATATTTTACCAGATAATCTCTATCATCATCAATATTAATAATTTTAGATTAAAAAGGTATTTACCTTGCACTGTAAACCGCATAGTACTACGTGGGTTCATTTACGGTTTTGTTAAAATCATATTCTGTCAATTTTAATCAGACATTTAGTCTGTTGCACATAAAAGAAAGCTTTACGATATTTTGTTTCTTTAAATAAGACCCCAGACCACTCTCCAGTTCAGCAACAATAAAATTGTACTAAACTGAGTTTTAGCCGAGAGCAAATTACAAAATATTTGAGTTTCAGACCGACTGTCTTTGACTGGCTCATTTAAATATAGTAGAAGCTGATATAAGAAGGGCCAGTCGTAATAAATGGCGCCCCATAACGTGTGTAAATTAGTTAGGAATTGTTAAAACAGATCAAAAATTGATGGTGATATCATTTAAACTGAGTCAATTACAAATTGTGATTTTTATATAAATCTTTTAGGTAAAACCTAGTTAATATTATTCACATAAAATATACCTTGTTTTGAATTGGAATCCTTCATTAGGGAGTAAACAGTTACTGTGTAAACATTTTCCTCGACATTTTCTTTAAAAATCAGTTGGGAACTACTTTTCTTAATTAATTGAACGTTGAGGCAGACCCTATTATAGTTTTTATGTAGTAAGGAGTGTTTAGTATAGTATTACTATCCAGATTATTCTTAATAATATATATTGATATCTATCTGCTTCATTCCATCAAAGGGTTTCATATTAATGTAATGTTTATAAACACATAAGCTGGACAACACGAACACATAAAAACAGACAAACACATAATTGTTAGTAATACAGACGTCACAAATTAGTTACATATCATTTAGTTCCATTTTTCTGTATATAAATTGGTTTTATTTTGTAAATAGGTGAATGCATTTTCCAGGTTTAGGTAATTTAACCTTATTTATTCTGTATTCTGACAGTGACAGTGTGTCAAAATTGAGAATTGACAACTCAGGGTTGCCAACTGTAATCTTCTTTCTTCGTGAGAAGTGTGGTCTATTATTGTGAAGACGCACAGTGAACTTTTAATAACTTTTGTGTTTTATTTTTTTATATTGTCGTTTTCACTGTTGATAATAATTAATAAATATTAGATTTGATTAATTTTAAAGGATTATAATAGTGAAACGGTGTTGTAAATATATAAAGGGTATTTGGTATTTTATAATGGGATTATTTATTAGGGAAAAAATAGTTACTATAAGTATAGTGTCCTAATTGACATCTGCCATTTAGATTTGAGGAAAAATAAATTGGTATGGTTATAGTGTTGCTATTTAGTAATTGGCAAACAGGATTTTGTGTTTGGGATTTCTTTTCTCTTTCTTTGTGGAAAGGAGAGGGTTTGTGAAATAAAATAAAATTCCTTAGATTTCTTTTTATTTATTAATTTTTATTTGTTAATACTCTTTAACATTTTTTTTTATTCTTAAGTATTTACATAAATTTAATATTAGGGTAATAATAATACGAATATAACTTAATATGGAGATAAATAGGTTACGAAAAGATGAATTGCTCTATGAGCTATATATTCGAAAATTACCTACTGGAAATACGGTAGCTGATCTAAGACTAAAATACAGAGAAGCACTGAGGATAGAAAAAGACAGTGGAGAATCGTTAGTTAAGACAGACGTGGTTTTAGATTTCGATAGGGAAATGGATATCTGCGAAAAGAAAATTTTTGAAATGGATCAAGCTTTGGAAAACTTCGATGACGAAAATGCTGAAAATGAATTCAAGAGTATTTCGAGTAAGCTTCGTCATGTTTCTGCCCGAATATCTAGAATAACAGGGAATAACGACTTGGAGGAGCAGAAAAGGATAATGTTAGTTCAACATTGTCAACAGTTGGAAAACGAACTCGCAGTAGTTCACGGCCAATCTTCTCTTATAGACAATCTCGCGAATAGATCTCAACATATATCCTTATTGGACACACCTTTACCAACTAATCAGTCTCCAGTTCCTCGCAGTTTAAATATAGTTGGTGACCTCGTAGATCTGCCTGAAGATAATCCTACCACAGCAGCTAGGCAGCCATCACTTTCAACACTAACTTCAGCTAACTCCGGCTTTGGGAATGATCCTAAACATGTGAATTTTCTACCCACAGTTACCGAACATCATTATAATCCAGCGAATGCTTCGTCTAGAAGAGCTACACTGAATAGCGCAAGTGGATTCTTGGATACACCTGAATTTATATCCAGCCCTGTAGAGGATTATCTGCCTTATTCTCGGCAGCCACCTTCTACATTCTGGAATAACGACCATCGAATGCCAGACATAGCCAGGTGGAACGTAAAATTTAATGGACGCACCAGTGTGAATGAGTTCTTGGAGCGAATTGAAGAGCTCAGGATGTCGAGAGGGGTCTCTCATCAACAATTGCTACGTTGTGCTCCTGAACTTCTTACCCAAGATGCCTTATTGTGGTACAGGACCAGAAGATTTTCTTCGTGGCAAGATCTGGTATCTCAGCTCCGGGAAGCCTATTTGCCGTACGACTATGAATTTAGTCTAATGGATGAGATTAGAAGAAGGACTCAGGGTGCCCAAGAAAAGGTTATGACATTCATTAATGTTATGGAAAACCTACTTCGTAAACTTAAACAACCACCAAGTGAGATAGATCGTGTAGCCTTAATCAAGCGGAATCTCCTCCCAAACATCCAATCCCAATTGGCTCTTCACCAAGTGTCAACTGTAGATGAACTCATTCGTTTAGGTCGAGCGGTAGAAGAAACGGAAATGAGGATACAACGATTCGTCCCTCCTCCTTCGGCAAATCGATCTCTTTTAGAACCTGAATTGGCATATCGAAAACCTTCAGGCCAACCTTCGGTCGCAGCCCTTAAAAGCCCTTCCGCTAGTCTGGACCGAGCCAACAAAGTGCCGTCACCTGACGTTGCTCCACCTGTCGGTTCATCATCAAATGTTTTGTCTTCGCCGTCTTGTTGGAACTGTGGAAAGACTGGTCATCGTTTTAAGAAATGTACCCAGCCTCGTAAGCGTTTCTGCTTTAAATGTGGCGAGAACAACTGCTCAGTTTATAATTGTCCCAACTGTCGAAAAAACTGGAATCGGAGTCAGCAATAGGCCAGTTGTCTGATTTTCCGTCGTCTGTGGCCGATTCTAATCGTCATGTGTTGTTGGATTATGTCCTCGCTCATGCCAAGGGAGATACGAGACCATATCTACAAGTTAAGATCTATGGCTGTCAGCTACTTGGTTTGTTGGATTCCGGAGCTACAAACACAGTTTTAGGTGGGTCTGGTTGGAACCTGTTGGAACCTTTCTGTAAAGTCCAGGACTCTAAACAAAAGACTTGTGTTGTTGCTTCAGGAGAGGCTTGCAACATTTTAGGTATGGTGTCTTTGCCCATTGTATTGTGCGAGAAAGTTAAGATCATTAATGCTCTTATTGTTCCAAATCTTCCACATACCCTTATTTTAGGAATGGACTTTTGGAAAGAAATGCAAATCATTCCGAATATGTTCTCGGGTGAGTAGCATTTTAAAAATTCTTCCCAACTTGATACAACCACACAACTAGCGTTAATTTCATCGGATCAGCTGGATCTTGATCAGAAATCTCGTTTAGACAAACTCATCGATGAGACCTTTCAAGGTATGGGTTCTAAACTAGGATGTACCACTTTAGTTGAGCATGTCATCAGAACGTCTTCACCGCCCTTAAAGCAACGGCATTATCCTTTGTCGCCGCCGATTCTTAAACAAGTAAATGAGGAACTCACTAAGATGATCGAAGATGGAGTGGTAGAGCCTTCTAATTCTCCTTGGGCCTCTCCGATAATCTTAATCAAGAAGCCGGATGGACGTTATCGGTTCGTTGTAGATTATCGCCAACTTAATAAGGTCACAACTAAGGATGCTTACCCTCTCCCCTTTGTGAATGCTACTCTAGATAAATTACGTGATGCTCGGTATCTAACTACGCTAGATATCAAAAGTGCATACTGGCAAATCCCGCTTTCCAAGGAATCGAAACCAATGACAGCATTCGTTGTGCCAAATCGTGGTCTGTTTCAATTCCGGCGAATGCCGATGGGACTCCACAATGCCCTAGCAACGTGGCAAAGATTTATTGACCAGGTTATTGGTATCGATCTGGAAAATTATGTATTCGTTTACTTGGACGACATTATAATCTGCACAGATACTTACGAAAAACATCTAGAGATGTTACGAGAAGTTTTGTCTCGAATCACCAAAGCTGGACTTACGCTTAACAGAGACAAGTGTCACTTTTGCAAGCCCGAACTTAAATATCTGGGCTACATTATAGGTTCTGGTGCACTCATGGTTGATCCGGATAAGGTAGAAGCCCTTCTACAAATTCCACAACCAAAGTCGGTTACAGAGGTTGGTCGACTTATTGGAGTTGCATCTTGGTATCGACGATTCGTCCCCAACTTCTCTACATTAACCGCCCCGTTATGTGCTCTTCTTCGAAAAAATCAGCCCTTCGTTTGGAGTAGAGAATGTGAGACTTCTTTCAAAGCTCTAAAGGAACATTTGGTGTCCGCTCCGCTACTGTCTTGTCCTGATTTCGAAAGACTTTTCATACTACAGACTGATGCTTCTGACTACGGGTTGGGTGCTGTCTTGTCTCAGATGGATGATGAGGATAATGAGAGAGTTATCTGCTACTTGAGTAGATCTCTTTCGAAATCCGAAAGGAAATACAGCACCACCGAAAAGGAGTGTCTGGCTGTATTGTTTGCCATTGAACGTTTACGTCCTTATCTAGAAGCAGTGAAATCTAGAGTAATCACTGACCATTTTGCTCTTAAATGGATAAATAATATTAAGGACCCTGTAGGACGAATAGCTAGATGGGCAGTTCGACTGCAACAATTTGATTTCGAGGTAGTACATCGTAAAGGTAGTGATCACGCTGTCCCTGATGCCCTTTCAAGATCTGTACCTCGCATAGATAGTGTAGATCTGGAGTCTAAGGACATTTGGTATAATAAAATGTGTCAAAGGATACGAGATACACCAGTTAAGTATCCGCTTTGGCGTTTAGAAAATGGACAGATATTTAAAAAGATTGATGTTCCCTATCCTGAATTAGCCGAAGATGCTGATGGATGGCTAATGGTTGTCCCAAAAGAAAAACGTGGCGAAATAATTTCCTTGCACCATGATCCTCCTACATCGGGTCATCTTGGAGTGTATAAAACAAGGACAAAAATTTCTAGGAAGTACTATTGGCCCAAACTTAAACAGGATGTTGCTCGCTACATTGCCAAATGTACAACCTGCCTTCAAACTAAGCCATTACAGAAACCTCCAGCTGGACTAATGCTCAGCCAAGGCCCCACTGCTACGCGACCATTCCAGATATTAAGCATGGATATCATAGGTCCCTTACCTCGTTCTGCGTCCGGCTACTCTTTTATTTTCTCAGTACAAGATATCTTCAGTAAATTTGTACTTTTCTTTCCCTTGCGTCAAGCTACCGGAAA